TCGGCACGTTGTCCAGCCGATTTAGGGTCACCTCTCTCGCTTAGGTGCTGCGTCTCCTCTTGTTGTTGCTGAATGGGTATGCTCCAGGGTCATCATGAATGACGCTCTTGCCTTGTGTGAAGCGGTGTATCTTATCTTGCAAGCTATTGTTTTAGATCACTTGCGGGTTGGTCGTTGTGGTCGTGCAGGTCATCTTGTGTTAGCTGTTCTCGCACATGGCGTGGCATTAGCTGATGGCGTTGCCCAGCGAAGCTGTTTTTTTGGATTAAGTATGGAACCCTCCAGTGGTTGCAGTTCCAGCAGCATGCGTTACTACAATCGGCAGGTACGGGTGCAGCAGTTTATGTTCCATTTGGTCACGGTGGCTTATATATTTTGGCAAGGCTGCCGTTTGTCGTGCTCAAGGGCGGCCAGGTCTTCCCGAGAAGTGCGGTGCATATTGCAAAGCTCTTCTTGGGTCTCATTCGCGACGTGATTCTGAGTTGCCGCGGTATGTATCACTGCGAAAGCCTGTTGGTAGCATTGGATTCTTGCCTGACGGTAGAGAGTTGGCGGTAGAGAGAGAGCACTCATTCAGATGTTGCGTCCGTGTTGCAGTGGTGCTAACTATCGGCTTCTTCAGAACGTTCAGCGGCCGTGCATTCGCGTGCGTCCAGACCGAGCTGAGCCGCGAGCAAGACCATTTCCTCGTTTTCGATCAAAGGCCACGGGTTCGGTTTGGACAACCACAATTTTTCGGGATGTTTCACTTGCGAAGCCCGTGCGCCCAGCGACGCATACATCCGTCAAAGATCCGAAGCAGTTTCAAGAAGTTGTACCTGTACCACTTGCGATGTATGGTTCTCTCCAAAGGAAAGTTTTGACCGTTGACTTTTGTCGGCAATTTGTTGGAGCGAAACTCTTTCTACCTGAACATGCGCTTGCCTTGCTGTGCGTCGAAGAATGCGTGTATCAAGTTTGCTAAGTTCTGGTTTTTGTGTTCGAAAGCAGAGTAGGTCTATGAGCTTGCTTGTCATATCAAGCTACGCATTATATATGTATAAAGTCTCAGTTTGCAGCGAAGTCGTGCCTGAATAAGCTGTGTCAGCGTTTTAGCTTGCCGCCTGTTACGGTCGCGCCTATCGTCGTGCCTCGTGAGCTCGTGCGACGTTTGCACCTGCTCCGCAGCATGTTCCAGGTTGCCTTGCAAGAAGTTTGTTGTGAACCTGCTCGTTGATGGCTTGGTGTTCATGTGAGTGTCCTTCCAGCGAAAGGTATCGCATGGTCGGGCAAGTTCAACGTCTAGCGTGTTCACGGGGGCTTCGCCATGCGGGTTCCGGCCGTGCACCTCCAGAAGTTATTAGTCGTTGGGCGGTTGCACCGTCCCTGGCAGCGCACTCTGGGCCATGGCGGCTATCTGTGTGGCCTCCCCTCCAACGACTTCGGCGGGTGCTGCGGAGCGCGCGGCAGATGTGGGGTCGACGGCGTCGATTGCGCCCTCGTGTCCAGCGGCGCATCCGCCACGCTTTTGGTTCCGAGGTCCACGGTCTGCGTGTTCCACTGCGTCCTGGATCTTGGGCAGATCTTGAAGTTCGCTTTCAGGAAATCATTCGCTTACGTGGAGCCCTGACGTGTGACGACGAGGCCTCTACCAAAGCGTGGGGCATTGAACGTTGTGCCATTGGTCCATATTTGGTTCGCCAGATGATGGTGGGCGCAAGCTTGTGGCGGTGTCATCCAGCGCTGCGCCCTCGTGATGTCCCGGCGTGGAATGAAAATGAAGTCGCGGTCGGGTCCCCCCCCCCCCGAGTTTTTGATTCGCCGCCGTGGCTTCGTGAACCAGACCGCCTCGCCGCCCGCGCTCTTTCCCATTGTTAAGTCTACGTGGTGCTCGGATTGTGGTGGATGGAGGCATGGTCGCCCGGCGCAGTCGTGCATGCGCAGAATTATTGGCATGTCGTCTATTCCCTTCGCAAATTCTTGGGGGGCTATCGGTCGTGCCATTCGAGCTGCTCTGGAAATTTCAGTTGTAGCGCGGGAGATCTTGAACGTAAGTGACGCCGGCAAAGTGCCGAAGCGGGACCTGCAGTTATTGGCAGCACCGGCGCCCGATGGGTGTTGCCTGCGCCGTTTTTTTTTTTTTTTTTTTTTTTTTTTTTTTTTTTTTTTTTTTTTTTTTTTTTTTTTTTTTTTTTTTTTTTTTTTTTTTTTTTTTTTTTTTTTTACCAGCTGCGCGGCTGCCTCCAGGTCTCGACCTGTGACGTGGATCAGGCGTTTAAGAGTTGTCGCATTGGCAATGCTTTGCCAGCGCGGTTGTGGTTAGAGTCCCTGTCCCGCGCAGTCACGCGCGCTGGGTCAGTCTTAATTGCGAGAGGCGAACCGTGTAAAACCATGGCCGCCACTCGTTCCTGGAGTCGTGCCTGGTGGGCCCTGTCCTTGGAGTCCTTGAGGAGAGCCCATCTAGCAGGTTTTATATGTAGTTTCGTTGTGGTTGGGAATCTGGTTTCCGAGCTCCTGGGGTTGTGCGTCGGGGGCTCTATCAGTAGTGCCGCAGTCTCTGTTCGGTTTGCGCATGGGGATTTTCTGATGTTGGAGAATGTCGCGAAGTTGGGGGCTCTAGGTTTCGGCTCGGATCCACCTGTAGAAGCTGCTCTGAAATAGCATAGGTATGTGGGTGATTAGTCTCTGTTATTCTCCAGCATGTATGAAGTTGTTCTTGTGGGCCATACGTTTTCTGAGTTTTTTTTGTTGTTTTTTTTTTAAAAAAAAAAACTACTGGGTGTCCGACCCGTTATTCGTCTGGGCGTCTTGTTCCCGATCAGGAAGGGGAATATTTGAAAGGGTGAATCTCGAATTTCGGCTTTACTCGAGGTCACTTAATTGGGTTCTTAAAAGCCAGCAACGGCTCTGGATCTACGGGGCCTCGGAGTGCCAACATAGCGTCATTATCCCGTGGCTTGGGCGTCTGCCATACTCGTTCGCACGTGTCCGAGCCCACCTACTCAGTAAATTGGCTTCCGCTCGCTCGGCTTGCTTATCTCGGGCTTCGATGTCAATCGTTATCGTGGAGTGCGCCCTCGAGCTATTGAAACTTGAATACCTAATTGTTTTTTTCACCAAGTTTGTTCGACCGTTGCCACCGTCGCCATCTGTGCTCAGTGCTCGTCAGTTGTGGCTTTCTCAAGTACGGTGCGCTGTTCGCGCTGAAGTCGCTGGCCCCTAGCGACAAGCAAAGGTGGCGGCGAGGGCGATGGTCGCACAGGTCTTGGCAGCGGTTCCAGCAAATGATATGGCTACGGTGGCCGGCCCTACGAGCAGACTCGTTTGTGGAGCGATCGTGGTGACCGCCGTGGTGATCGCGGGTATCGTGGAGATGATCGCGGTCGCGGGGGCCGTGATCGCGACCGCCGTCGCCGCGGCGACTCGCCCGACTCGGAGGGGGAGGTTCGCCGTGCCGAGCGCCTCCTGGCCAAGAGGAGCCCGCAGTTCGCCCGCTTCCAGGAGTGGGGGCGAGCCGAGTCGCGGGGTGAGGAGTTCAAGCGCCAGGGTGAGATCCGGGCGAACGTCGTGGGCCCCCAGCTCAACCAGGCTCTTTCCGCGAGAGCGGGGCCAGCAGGTCCGAGTGTGTCGGCGTCGGCGGGCCCATCCTCGCCGTCGGCGTTCCCGCCTCAGCCGTTGCTTCCCGCCCCGACCAAGGGCGGCCTGGTTGCGGACGGTGTTCTCTCGGCGTCGCAGAAGGGGACCGTGGAGACAATTTGGGGTACCAGATGCAAGTTGGAAGCAGGCATTTTCAAGGAGGTAATTGAGTTTCTTACCAAGGCGTGGTTGTCGAATCCTGGGGTGGTCAAGCAGCTCCATGCGTTTCTCAAGGACAATTATGATGGCGAGCCTCCCCGCGGCAAGAAGGATAGGATCCAGTGTTTTTGGGGCGTTCTCCAGCAGCTGGACTGAATGGAAGATGCAGTGCTCCCTGAGGATTCGGTGTCAGATGGTGAGGATATTGTATGTCCTTCCTGTCGTCGGCGGCGTCAGCTGGCCGGCTCTTTCCAGGTGTCTCTACGTATTGCTTTGGGAGTAGTCTGCTCCGTGTTCCTGCTTGGCATCACGTACGGATACTTTCTCAAGTCCTTCGTTCTTGGTACTGAGTGGTATTGGTGGCAGCAGATTTAGCAGCTTTGCGGTTTTGGTTTGGGCTATATTTCGGGTTCGCCTGAGCATGCAGCCCAGTTTGCAGAGATGATTCCGCTGCCGCAGCCGATGCCACATGGCCTGCAGTGGCTAACTCTTCTTCCACTTGTACTTCCTGCCGCCCGACGGGGCATGCGAGCCATCCGCGGGTGAGTTCACCCGTATTAACTTTGAGCCGGAGGTAGTGATGACAGGCCGTCGCGCGTGTTCCTTGTCTGACCCCTCTGAGGTCAGCTCCCGTTTCAATCTGGTGGGTCATAGTTTCTGTTCTGCTCCACAGGCGATTTGGCTCTGGGCTTTAGTTTGGCTCGGGCGCTCAACCAAGTGAGGAGTGGCCCCGCAGCAAACCAGCAGAGCGTACACGTCGAGGTGGCTGGTACAGCCATCGTTTTGGTTTGTCGCAAAAATATGGTCATCATCATCACCATCACCATCACCATCACCATCACCATCACCATCACCATCACCATCACCATCACCATCACCATCACCATCACCATCACCATCACCATCATCATCATCATCATGATCATCGTCATCATCATCATCATCATCATCATCATCATCATCATCACTTCACTAGTAACTTTGAGTGCTGTTCGAGTATTTTTCGATCATTCGCCCAAGAAATCGCTTGTAGGGGGACATGCCCAACCTCATTCCTCTTCCTGGGCTCGGGGGGGCGGTGTGCCTGGGCGCTGGCGCCCAAACGACGCCCGGGAGCATCTTGGAGAGGCTGGTGGAGAGGGCGTCTGGGATGTGCTGGCCACACATGGGGGAGCTGCGGTCTTCACCCCTCGGGTGTGGACAGAACCCCCAGCTTGACACGTCGATTGGTGACTTGTCCGCTTTCGGTTCTCGAGAGGGCGCCGCGGCCGCCATTTTGAGGCTTGCGCCCGCCAGGTTTGGGCCCGAGGTCGTTTTCACTAAACCGCGTTTTGCTAGAGGGGGTTCTGTCCATCCTCCTCCTCCTCGTCCTCCTCCTCCTTTTCCTCTTCCTCCTCCTCCTCCTCCTCCTCCTCCTCCTCCTCCTCCTCCTCCTCCTCCTCCTCCTCCTCCCCCCCTTCCTCCTCCTACCCTCCTCCCCCCTCCTCCTCCCGAACCTGGGGGAGCTGTGGTCCTTACCCCTCTACGGGACCCGCCGGCTCTGACACCCCCTTCCGAGGAGAGTGCCGACCCAGTGGGCTCCCGCCAGGGGGGCGAGGAGCACCGCTGCCCCAGTGGTGGCTGGACGGCGGGGCAGGTCCCTGGACTTCAGTCGGGCGTGCCCCTTCTACAGGAGGAATATTCAGAAATAGTCAAAACATACTCTGGGGACGGTTGTCTATCATTTCTTTGACAGTCTTTGTTTTTTTGACTATTTTTTGATTTTTTTTGACTATTTTTGATTTCTCGTCCAAGAACAGCCTGTAGGAGGACATGCCCGACCTAATCCTGACCGATATGTGTCGGCGTCACCCCAATATACTAATACTATGTGTGCGTCGCCCCCCCAGGGGCGACGCGCGCACCGAGAAATCTTATAGTAGATGCGTCGTGGTGGGCGCTTTCTGGCCACACCGCTCGGGAAAGGATATACCACAATATCGGTATACTATATGTTTGGGTCGGACGCGCGCCTCCAAGGAACACATACAGTATTAGTAAGTCTCTGTGCGTCCTATTGTGAGGAGGGGATTCGCAGCTCGGGGGCTCAGGCTACCAACCTGCGCCGGGTCACCTTCCTCGCGATGGATGAGGCGGACCGCATGGTGAGCCACGGCTTCGAGCCACAGGTCTGCAGCAAGCACCCGTGCCCCTCCACCACCACCAAGGTGTCTTGCCAGGATCATTTTGGGTTCATGGGTTGTGTGTAGAGCCCCTGGCCTCGGCCAGAAAGGCTCCTATACCGTGGGAGCGTTCGTTAAGGAAGGCGCCCAGGAGGCTTCAGACCCTGGAGGATTCCTGATCTGATGAGGGCAGCGGTGATATCCATGGCCAAGCCTCAATTGGTGTTCCACCGGCTTTCAGACCCTGGATTCCTCGTGTTAGGGTTCCTTACCTAGCGCCCTCTCCGTATCATGCTGGGACCCAGGATGCCCCTGGCCAGTCATCCCCGAGATCCGACGCTGCGAAAACATCGCAACATCGCGAGATCTCACGACTGGAGTTTCAGACCCCGCCTTTCTGCGGCATCTCTTGAGCCGGATCGATCTGTGATGGCCCCAGGGCCCGAAGCCGGGCGAACATGCCGGGGCGTGGCGAGGAGGAGGGAGAGGGCTGGAGAGAGATGAGGAGACGACAACAGAGAACGAGTGGGCCGCGTCGCGCGCCGATCCGGGCGCCTCCCTGGCCCGGGCCGGACGGCCCAGAGGTGCCCACCGTGCGCCGGCGTCCCCCCGCCGTGCGCTCGCTGCCTCCCTGAGCTCCTGGATCTCAGGGGTGCTGGGCGGTGTGCAGGGGGGCCTTCGGTGGTAAATCATGGGAGCCTGCTGTACCCTCGCAGTTTCGTTTGTAGCGTCGGCTAGCGTCTGGGAGTCGACGAGACAGCGCCGATTCAGCGCCGGCCTGCGTCGATGGGCGTCGATGTGGCGTCGATTCGCCTCGACTATAGAGTCGATCCGCGTCGATATCGCAGAAGCCGGCACGATGGCGTGGGAGATTCCCACGAGCTGCCACCGACGGGGGCCCTCCTGCGGGCCAGGTCCGCTCCGTCCTGTCGGCCGTGAGGCCCGCCAGGCAGACGCTGCTGTTCTCGGCCACCATGCCGGCGAGGGCGGCGCGCGTCGCCGCCGAGCTTCTGCGGCGACCAGTGTGGGTCACCTCGGGCGGGGCCGGGCAGACCCCATCGAACGTGCAGGAGATCGGAGGGCGCCAATCTTCGGGCGTTGACGGGACCCTGCCCCCAGGAGAAGTCGACAGGGGAGGCCTGACCTGCACTGGTTCGCTCGGCATTGGCATCCTACCGTGCCGGGGCAGCGACCAAGGGGTTCGGCGGACCGGCGCGCGTCTTGCCGGATGCAGTCGTGTCTTCTGGACGTTCATTAGCTGCCCCGCTGGGGTGCTCTTGGAACGCGGCGCCGAGCCCACATGGAGTGCCCCTGGTAGCTTTCACTGAAGGGCGTTTTGCTAGAGGGGGTGTCTGTCCAGACCCGAAGTCTGTAGACCGCACCGATCCTGGCCCATCCGGCCAGGGTTGGCGTGGTGTATACGGTCAGGATCTTTTGCTCATTGTGTCGTGCCGCCAGTTCTGGGCAACCAGGCCTCGGCGCGACGCGCTAGCCACTTCCCCATCTCCGAGTGTCAACGGCCCGAGCCGTTCGGGGCCTCCCGCCCCGCGGAGCGGAGCGACACGCTGACCGCTTGCGCAGCATAGCGTGTGGCCTGGTCTGCCGCCGCGACGCGCTAAGCAGAATCTCCTGACCAGAAGTGGCGCCCCCCTCCAGGAGAGGGTGGTCGTCGTCGAGGACGAGGAGGCGAAATGGCGCTGGCTCGCGGGGGAGCTCCCCAGGCTCGCGTCCACGGGGCAGGTGCCCAGTGGACGCCAGTCATGTCCGCGGCCCACCGCACCCACTCTGGCCATCCCAGCCCTGGGCCAAGAATCGGTCTGCGTGCTGTCCTGGCCAAAGCTCGGGGGCGTCCTGGGGGGGAGTGGGGACTAGGGGTGGGGGGGGGATATTGTGGCCAGCGCCATGAAATCTCCCCCGATTTGATGGCTCCCTCCTCTTTCTTTGAATACTTCCCCAAGTCCCCCCCCTCTTGTCCGCGCACATGCCTCGGGATACGATTAGCGACCCCCCGCTCTTGGACGCCCCCCCTCCTTGTCAAGGGGCCCAGGGAGATACGAATTCACAAATTCCAGGATTCTGTTGATATTCTAATATATACACATCATTCTGTGGACTCTCGTCGTCCCCTCCACTTCCAATATCTGGGGAATTGGCAAATCTTATTGTTATTGTTAGCAACATGGGCACATTGGACCCACGGGTTCCTTGATTGGAACCTTTGTAACCCCTCGAGGTTCACACATAGCCAGAGATCTCCAGCGCAGTTCTTCGTAGCACTCTCTGTGACGGCCAAGCCCGTGAGCGCAAATACTGCATGTAGAGGCTGCGCTCGGGATCTTTGACTCTTTGTGATTCGCTGGCACTCACAGACATGTGCGAAGTCTTTGTGATTCGCATGGAATCGCAAACATTTGCGGAATCTTTGTGTTTCGTTGGGGCTATTCGCGACAGTCTCTGTGACGGCCAAGCTCTTGATCACATGTATTGAGAGGAGAGGCTACGGTCGGGATCTTTGAACCGTTGTGATTCGCAGTTGGCCACAAACATTTGCGAACTCTGTGTGGTTCGTTGGGGGTCGAACAGATTCGAAGATCCCCATCGCGGCTCTTAGCGACAATATTTGTGACGGCCATGCCTTTGATCATAACGACTGCGAGGAGAGGCTGCGCTCGGGATCTTTGATCCTTTCTGATTCGCAGGGAATCGCAGGCATTTGGCGAAATCTTCGTGGTTCGCTGGGAAGCACAAAGATTTGCGAAGTCTCTGTGCTTCGTAGGTAGCCGCGAAGTAGTCAAATGTCCACAGCGTAATTCGTTGTGGCAATCTTCTTGAAGGCCCAGATCGTGATCACGAATTTTGAGGCATCGCGAAGTATCTGCAACGCGAGCGCCACTCATCAATTCCAGCGCAAGATCAGCAAGGCGAAAGCTTCGCGGCGACTCTTGCGAGGCTCTCTCGTGGCCCATCTGCCCCAGCAGCGTGTGCAGCTCGTAGTCGTTTCGTGCCGCGGAGCTCTGCCGTGCGAGAGCCCCGCAATAACCTCGACGCGAGCGCCTTCAGAATAAGTGCCGCGACCGCTGACTGCGCCTCGCAAGGACTGCCGCGAGAGATCAGCAGAGCGAACGCCTCGAAATAGTTCCCGCGAGAGATCAGCAAACATAGCGCCTCGCAGAATCTTCTTGCGGGCCTTTCGTCGGAGGTATGCCGAGGCTTTCGCTTTGCATATCTCTCGCGGCAATTATTGCGAGGCTCTCTCTATCGGCAGATCTGCTCCAACAGCGCTTGCAACACGTAGGCACGTTGTGCCGCGGAGTTCTGCCGTGCGAGATCCCCGCGATAACTGAAGGGAGCGCCTTCAAATAAGTGCCGCGACAGCCGACTATGCCTCGCAAGGATTGCCGCCGGAGATCTGCAAAGTGAGCGCCTCCAAATAATTCCCGCGGGAAATCAGCAAACAGAGAGCCTCGCAATGTCTTCTTGCAGGCCTTTCGTCGGAGCTATTCCGAGGCTTTCGTTTTGCATATCGTCCGCGGCAATTTCTTCATCAAGGTCCTTCACTACTGAGGGTTCTGGGCGAAGGGTTCGCTATTGCGAATTCCTGAACAAGGAGTCCTTGCTAGCGAGTCTTACATGCGGAATTACCATTAAGGGTTCCTGAGTCAGGATGCTTAACTAAGGGTACCAAGGGTTCCTTGGTAAGGATTCCTGCATACGGGCTCACTACCACGGTCTCCGCGTTAAGACCTGGCGAGTGATCCCTCGGTCGGGATGCCTTACTAAGCATTGCTTACGAAGAACTCCTTAGTATGGGTTCCTTATTGAGGAATCCTTATCCAGGAGTCCTAGCTAAGTACCGTAGTCAGGAGTTCTCACACTGGAGCTCTCTCTTAAGGATTTCCATTGCGTATTCCCGACTAGGTTTTTCTTACACCGGATTCTTTGTTTAGGACTTCTGGTTAAGGAGTCCTTTCTAAAATGGAAGTTTTAGCAGGGGTTCCTCAGTGATGACTCCTTACTAAGGATTCCTTGCGGGGTTCCTTCAGGAAGGATTCCCTGGTGAGGGTTCCCATGAAGGGCTATTTAATAAGGTTTTTTTAGTCATGATTCCTCACTAGTGACTTGTTTTTCTGGGTTCCGCCTTCAGAATTCCTTTGTCAGGGGTCCTGTCTATGGATTCGTTGCTACGGGCTCCTCAGTAAGGACTCGATATGCAGGAGTCCTTACTGAAGGGGTCTGGTCTAAGGATTTCTTAGGACGGGCTCCTTGGGCAGGATTTCCTGACAATGGTTCTTTAGCAATCTTGTTTTATTGAGGGCTTCCTTACACCATGATTTCTTATTGAAGGCTCCTAACGAAGGATTCCTCATTAGAGGGGTCCTTGCTAATGGCTCTTTGTTGAAGGCTTTTGATTGAGGGTTCCTTACTGCGAACGCTTTAGTACGGGCGCCTTACGACAGATTTCTCAATCAGGATTTAGTAAAGAATGCGTTCCTGGTTCCTCACGACTCATTCCTTAATTCAGATTCCTTACTGGGGGCTCCTTGCTGAGGACTCCTTGCTCAGGTTTTATTGATGTTTCCTGATCAAATATCCCTCCGTCAGGATTCCTTACGAAGATTTCCTCATTCAGAAAACCCTATTTCATACTTTAATAAGGGCTCTGCTCAAAAAGCGTCGCAAGTAAGGGTCCCGCATTAAGTATTCCTGACGGCGGATGCCTAGCACATGATTCCTTCATTCAGGGTTCCTTAGTAGGGATTCCATGTTCGAGAGGAGTCCTTGCTAAAAGGCTCCGTTCAAATTAAGTATTCCTGGCGACTGATGCCTTACAGCGGATTTTTTTTCGGGGGGGGTCCTATTTTTTTGTTGGGGGGAATTCTAACTGGGCTCCGTATCACGGGTTCCTTACTCAGGATTCTTTACCCAGGATTCCTTGCTCAGGGTTCCTTACTGAGGATTCCAAAGCACGGATTCCTTACGAAGCATTCCTTATGACGGGTTCCTGATTCAGGGTTTCTTACTATGGAGTCCGCATTAAGGCTTCCTTCGAATAGCTTCTGACCCAGAACTCCTTACCAACGTTACCTTGCTCAGGATTCCTCACTCACCAAGGATTCCTCAATTCTGATTCGTTGGTAGCGATCCATTATTTAAGATTCCGTCCCAAGGTTTTTTGCTAATGGTTTCTGGCTACTGATTCCCCATTCCTGATTCATTACTACGGCTTCCATAAGAAGGATTCGTTTCTAAGGATTCCGTGGTCAGGACTCCTCAGTATTGGTTCCTTGTTCATCATTCCTTTACGCATGATTCCTTATCAAGCATATTTCCCTTAGGGATTCTGAGTACGGGTTCCTTCCTTCGGGCTTCTTGTGGAGGAGCCCCGGTTTAAGGGCTCCTTCATGACGATTCCTTACCAGGGTCTCTCCATGAAGACCTTACCAATGATTCCTTCTCCATGATTCTTCAGTAAGGGTTCTTTATCAGGGGCTCCTGACTATGGATTCCTTACTACGGATTCCGCACTGGGGGCTCGGAATTCAGAAATATTTGTTACCTTCCCTAGTAGAGACCCTTCTCAAAAAAGGAGTCATCCGGAATGATTTTATGACGGGCTCCTGACTCAGGGTTCTTTACAAACGGATTTCTTGTTAACGACCTCAGACACATAATTCTTTACGACATGCAGTCCTTGCTAAGTGCTCTTTAAGGACATTTCCTTCTTCAGGGCTCATTTCGGAGGAATCATCTAGATGGATCTTTTGGTAAGGGTTCCCAGGGCGGATTTCTTAGCAAGGACTCCTTTCGAATGGTCCCTACTACTTCGTTTTTTCTTTTGATTCCTTCATGCGGATTCCTTACTCAGGGGCCCTTGCTATGGGTTTAGTAGGATTCGTCCTTAAGGTTTCCTTAGAGAAGTGGTTCCTTACCAACGATTATTTTCTGCGGGTTCCCTCGTGCGGATTCCTGGGCTCTTTACCAGTGCTCCTGATTCAGGGGTCCCTATTACGGATTCCGTACAAACGGATTCCAGGTTAATGATTCTTTCTTTAGGAATCATTTTCACGGATGCGTCTGGATGGCTTAAATCGTTTCGGTTCAAATCGCCGTGGATCCACCGTGTCCTTGCTCCCTTGTTGTTGTTGCTGCTGCTGCTGCTGCTGCTCCTGTTGTTGTTGTTGTTGTTGTTGTTGTTGTTGTTGTTGTTGTTGTTGTTGTTGTTGTTGTTGTTGTTGTTGTTGTTGTTGTTGTTGTGGGTCGCAAGGATGTTTGACGGGGCCCGTTTTCGATGGATTCCTGAGGGTCCCCTAGGGGTCCTCAGGGTCCCCTAAGGGCCCCGATGGATTCCCGAGGGTCCCTCTCCCCGCGTCCTTTCGTGTCCAAGCTTGCTCCTGGCGAATACCGCCCGCTGCCCGACTGGCGCCTGCATCTGCCCTGGCTTGAAACGTTCCCTTAGCAAGAGGATCGGGAAAAGCTGCCGGGTCACCGCGGCGAGGGGCGGCTCCCCAAGACTGCCCGAGAGCCGCGCCCGGCCATCGGGCCCCCGACTGCACCTGCGGTCGCAGGAAGGAAGGCAGGAAGAATCGCAAAGTGATCAAGAGGTGCTGGCCGTCAGCAGCGTCGTCGTCGTCGTCGTCGTCGTCGTCGTCGTCGTCGCCACCGTCGTCGTCGTCGTCGCCCCTTGTCGAGGTGCTGGTCTTCGCGGGAACCCGGGCCGCCGCGGAGCGGCTCGCGACGAGCCTCGCGGCGGCCGCCGCGGGGGCCGTGGCCGTCCTGCACGGCGACCTGCCGCAGGCCGCCCGGGACGGCGAGCTGGGCCGCCTGCGGCGCGGGGAGGTCGCCGTGCTCGTGGCCACCGACGTGGCCGGCCGAGGCGCGCCCACGGCCCCGGCGGCGGCGGCGTGCCGTGGCGCGGGCGTCGCCAGCGGTCGACTCTGGGATGGGAGGATCGCGCCGCATCGGCGATGCAGCGGCCATGCGGCTCGGTGTGTAGCCTGGCTTCTTCCGAAGCGTCGCCGATGTCGCCGATGGATCGCCGATGCATCGCCGATGCATCGCCCCCGGTCGGCCACGTCGGTGCATACTTAGCTGCCCTGCTACGCCGGCTCTGCAACGCAGCACGTTGCGTGTTCGAGACGTCCGTGTTCACGCGCTGCGTGTTGGCTCGGCACGTGCAGGCGCACGTGTTGGCGCACGTATCGCGCCATGTGCACGTGCTCGATCTCCGCGTTGAGCTCCGTGCCAACTCGCTGCGGGCTGCGTGCTGCGCATCGGGGCAGCTCAGCGCTGGCGGCGCGCCCGTCGCCGCCGACGTGATCGACCAGGGAGCTCCTTTCGGGGGCCGCTGTGGGGGCGAACAGGCGCCGATGGTCCGTGCCTTCGGCGAGGCTCCTGGGTGACTTCGTGTAATGCCCGCCCCTGGGCCGGCCGCCTTTCCTTATTTTCCTTCGGCCGCGTCCCTCCTCCCTCCTCCTCCTGCATGGTGGCGCAGTTCGGCCCAGCGGTACCCCCGTCCTTGCCATTCATCGCCAGCGCAGTCCTCCTCCTGCCATGCGACGTCCTGATTTTTTCAGGACGGCGTCCCTGGAAGTCCCGACCCTTTCCTCGGGACCGGTTTTTCGTCCTGAGTCGTTCTTTGACGGTCCCGAGGCCCGGCGAGGGCCCCCTGGGGCCGAGGATGGCCAAAAACCGCCCGTCCAGATTTTTCATTACGACGCGATCATATCTGGGTTCGGCCCAACGGTACCCCCGTTCTTGCCAGTCATCGCCAGCGCAGTCACCCTCTGCCTGGCCTTAAGTCGGGCTTGTCCTTCTAATTACAGGAAGATCGGAGGTGAGGGGGTGAGATCGAAGTGGAACGGAGAGCCCCCCTACCGGGAAATCGGTTTCGGTTTCGTGTTCGTGCGTGCCGCGCGTGCGGACGAGGCGAAGCCGCGTGGGCGGGCGAGAAGAAAGTCTCCCTCGGCTGAGGCGCGGCCGGACCAAATGACTCCCTTCTGGCAACCGGTGCCGCGCGGTGTCCCGCCGGTGTCCCGCCTCCGGCTGAGGCGCGGCCGGACCAAATGACTCCTTTCCGGGGGCCGGTGCCGCGCGGTGTCCCGCCAGTGTCCCGCCGGTGTCCCCTCGGTGTCCCGATGATTATGATGATGATGATGATGATGATGATGATGATGATGATGATGATGATGATGATGATGTGATGGTGATGGTGATGGTGATGATGATGATGATGATGATGATGATGATGATGATGATGATGATGATGATGATGATGATGTTGATGATGATGGTGATGGTGGTGATGATGATGGTGTCCCGATGATGATGATGACGACGATGATGCTGATGTTGGCGATGTTGATGGTGTGGATGATGATGGTGATGGTGGTGATGATGATGGTGTCCCGATGATGATGATGTTGATGATGATGTTGCTGCTGCTGATGATGGTGGTGTCCCGATGATAATGATGATGTTGATGATCCTGATGATGTTGATGATGATAATGATAATGATGAGGTCATGGTGGTGATGAAGATGATGGTGGTGTCCTGATGATGCTGATGTTGATGATGATGCTCTCGATGATGATGGTGGTGATGATGATGATGATGGTGTCCCGATGATGATGATGTTGATGAGGATGATGATGACGATGATGGTGTCCCGATGATGATGATGTTGATGATGAGGATGATGATGAGGTGATGATGGTGATTTTGATGATGGTGGCCCGATGATGGTGATGATGCTGATGTTGATGATGATGGTGATGATGATGATGATGATGATGGTGTCCCGATGGTGATGATGATGAGGGTGATGATGATGATGATGATGATGGTGTCCCGATGATGATGGTGTCCCGATGATGATGATGTTGATGATTATGATGTTGCTGATGATGATGAAGGTTATGATGTTGTTGATGATGATGACGATGTTGTCGCGATGGTGATGATGATGATGCTGTTCATGATGAGGATGATGACGAGATGATGATGGTGGTGATGTTGTTACGATGGTGATGATGGTGTCCTTATGATGATGTTGATGATGATGATCGTGACGATGATTGTGTCCCGATGATGATGATGCTGATGATGATGATGATGGTGTCCCGAGGATGATGTTGATGATGATGGTGATGATTTGATGATGATGGTGTTCCGATGATGACCCTGCTGCTGTTGATGATGTTGATGACGTTGATGACGATGATGATGATGATGGTGATGATGATGATGATGATGGTGTCCCCATCATGATGATGTTGATGAGGATGATGATGACGATGATGGTGTCCCGATGATGATGATGTTGATGATGAGGATGATGATGAGGTAATGATGGTGATTTTGATGATGGTGGCCCGATGATGGTGATGATGCTGATGTTGATGATGATGATGGTGATGATGATGATGGTGTCCCGATGGTGATCATGATGAGGGTGATGATGATGATGATGGTGTCCCGATGATGATGGTGTCCCGATGATGATGATGTTGATGATGATGATGATGTTGCTGATGATGATGAAGTTATGATGTTGTTGATGATGATGACGATTTTGTCGCGATGGTGATGATGATGCTGATGATGATGTTGTTAATGATGATGATTATGATGACGAGATGATGATGATGGTGATGTTGTTACGATGATGATGATGGTGATGATGATGTTGATGATGATGATCGTGGCGATGATTGTGTCCTCACGATGATGATGCCGATGATGATGATGGTGTCCCGATGATGATGTTGATGATGTTGGTGATGATCTGATGATGATGGTGTTCCGGTGATGATTATGCTGATGTTGATGATGTTGATGACGTTGATGACGATGATGTTGTTGATGGTGATGATGGTGATGACGTTGACTGTGAGATCGATTGTGATATCGATAGTGAGATCGATCGTGTGACCGAATGTGAGATCGATTCTGAGATCGATATTGAGGTCGATAGTGAGATTGTGATGTCGATAGTCAGATCAAATGTGAGATCGATCGAATGAAGTAGATCGAGTGAGATCGATAGTGAGATCGATCGTGTGCGATCGATCGAGCGAGACCGATAGTGAGATCGATAGTGAGATCGATAGTGAGACCGTTCGAGTGGGACGTTGGTTCCTCCCCCCCCGAACCTCCTTATCACCCGAAGGGTGGTCCTATTGGTATTCAAAAACAGGCAGAATATAGCGTGATGGCGATTTATTATTCTTTTTTAGCATGTTTAATTCTTCGCCCGAAATCCGCCTGTAGGAGGACACGCCCGACTTAGCCTGGCCGCCGACGCCAAAAGCAATGCCACGCCCCTGCGCGCGGGTCGCCCTTCGGTCTTGGGCGTGCCCTCTCGGCGGCCCCTGGGGCGGCCGCCACTGGGCCGTGGCCACGGTTGGGCCCCCCTCCACGCGGCGGGCCCCGTTGCACGACCCGGACAGGGCTGGAGGAGGGGGGGGGGCTGGAGGAGGAGGAGGGGGAGGAGGAGGAGGAGGAGGAGGAGGAGGAGAGGAGGAGGAGGAAGGAGAGGAGGAGGAGAGGAGGAGGATGAGGAGGAAGGATGAGAGGAGGAGGAGGAGGAGGAAGAGGACGAGGAGGAGGAGGAGGAGGAGGAGGAGGAGGAGAGGAGGAGGAGGAAGGAGGAGGAGGAGAGACGGAGAGGGAGGAGGGGGAGGGAGGAGGAGGAGGAGAGGAGGAGGAGGAGGAGGGAGGAGGAGGCGGAGGAGGAGGGGAGGAGGAGGAGGAGGAGGAGTAGGGGAGGAGGGAAGGAGGAGGAGGAGGAGGAGAGAGGAGGAGGAGGAGGAGGAGGAGGAGGAGGAGAGGATGGAGGAGGAGGATGGAGGAGGAGGAGGAGGGAGAGGAGGAGGAGGAGAGGGGGGGAGGAGGGAAGGAGGAGGGAGGAAGGAGGGGGGAGGAGGAGGCGGAGGGAGGAGGAGGACGAGGAGGACGAGGAGGAGGAGGAGGGGGAGGAGGAAAAGGGGGAGAGTGATGGTGCTAGCAGCGGGGCGGGCGTCGGCACCGTCGGCGGCACTGGTGTGCCCCTCCCCCACGCCGGACCTCCCGAGGCTGCAGTCTCCCAGTCCCGGCGGTGGCTCCCTCGACTTCCGCCTCCCGGGGCCCCGCCCTCGGGCCCTGCGGGGCCCCTCCTCGGCGGCGAGCCCCAGGGGGGGGGGGAAGTGAGAAGGAGAAAGCCTCAAGTCGGGCTTGCCCCTCTACAGGAATGTTCACAACTAGTTCAAGATAGTATTGGGTCTTTTTTAACAGTATTTTTTGTTTTGTTATATATCTATATATACACAGGAGTTGAGTATTTTTCGAATCTTATTGAGTTTGTTTTTTTTCGTCGAACTCCGCCTGAATGAGGACACGCCCGACCTAAAGAAAGCCTCAGAAGGTTCGGAAGCCCCCCGGCCTTCCGAGAGGTTTTCGGAGCCTTCCCCGAAGACGGACCAACACTTCTCTGACGGCGAGGGGGCCTCCTTGAGAGAAGTTCCGCCGCCTTCTGAGCATGCCTTCGCCTTCTCATTTCCCCCCCTTGCTCGCCGCCAAATTCTACTGGACCCCTCTCCAGAAGCTGGGCTTGCTTTCTCCTGGAGGCCCAAGACCGCCCACATCCCGCCGCTCCGATTTCTCTCTCGGGCGTCGGCTCTCTGGGAGGGAGGCTCCAAGGTTGCGGCTCCGTCTCTTCGACGACATGGCGTCCGTCGGCGGCAAGCGAGGGGGGAGAGGTGAGAAGGGGAAATGAGAAGGAGGAGAAGAAGTGCGAAGCGAGGTCTTTGGCCGCATTCGGCCCCGGGGGGCCCTCGCCGGGCCTCGGGACCGTCAACAAAACGACTCAGGACGAAAAACCAGTCCCGGGGAAAGGGTCGGGACTTCCAGGGACGCCGTCCTGAAAAATTCAGGACGTCGCATGTCTGGGTTAGGAGCACCTCCAGGAGGCCCTGTAGAAGTTGGCGGCGAGCGAGGGGGGGAGGTGAGAAGGAGAAGGCATGCTTAGAAGGCGGCGGGGCTTCTCAGGAGCCCTGGCGCCTTTGAGAGTTTTTTTCTGCCTTCAAGGGAAGGCTCAGGGAACTTCTCGGATGGCCGGGGGACTTTTCCGAGCCTCCTGCGGAGGCCTCCTCCTTCTCACTTCCCCCCCCCTCGCTCGCCGCCGAATGTCGGCGCCTACCGCCACGAGCCTCGGAAGGCTCTCCGCCCAGCCAGGGTCGCCCGAGGCATGCTGCAGCAGGACTTCGGCCGCGTCCTCGGAGGGATTTGCGGCCCGGCTGGGGGCGCTTTGTAGTTCCAGGCGCGAGGCAGGTGCCAAGTACTAGGGGGCCACATGCGAACCCTACCCCTACCCCCCACGATTTCTGAGGGGGAGGGTGGGGTTCACCTCGATAGGGCTCGCATGTGGCCCCCCAAGTACTGCTTGGCACTGCCTCTGGTGTGCCTCTGGCTCTGCTGGCGCCTCGGGCGGGCCCCCTCGTCGCCGTGGCCAGATCCGCCTCGAGGTGCCGGCCAGGGCGCGGCCCCCCCGGCAGGGGTCGAAGTCTGGCGCCGCGCCAAGGTCGCTCACGAGGAGGGGGGTTTCGGAGGGAGGTGGTCCTGGAGGCCCTTCGCCTCGGGGCGACAAACCTCCTCCTCCTCCTCCTTCTCCTCTTCCTCCTCTTCCTCCTCCTCCTCCCCCTCCTCCCCCTCCTTCTCCTTCTCCTCCTCCTCATCCTCCTCCTACTCCTCCTCCTCCTCCTTCCTCGTCCTCCTCCTCCGCCTCCGCCTCCTCCTCCTCCTCCTCCTCCTCCTCCTCCTCCTCCCCCTCCTCCTCCTCCCCTTCCTCCTTCCTCCTTCCTCCTCCTCCTCTCCTCCTCCTCCTCCTCCTCCTCCTCCCCCTCCTCCTCCTCCTCCTCCTCCTCTCCTCCTCCTCCTCCTCCTCCTCCTCCCCTCCTCCTCCTCCTCCTTCTCCTCCTTCCTCCCCCTCCTCCTTCTCTTCCCCCTCTTTCTCCTCCTCCTCCTCCTCCTCCTCCTCGAGCGGTATCTTTTGCATGCCTTCTCTTGACGGTCTCCCGTTTCTTCTCCCACTTGTTTCGGGGCAGGGGAACCTGCAGGTCTCCTGTGCCCGCGTTAGTCGCATGTTGTACACATTGCCGTCTTCGACACAGTAGGAATTTTTGTTTCCATCCTGATCTTTTACTTCTAGTCGGTAGTCGAGCTTCGGTTCTCTCCCACGCGACGCCATGACCTGCATGGCATCCTCTCGCCGCCCTGCCTCGAAGGTGAGGGCTCCACCACTCCATCGTGTTAGCCATGCTGTACAACAACTTCCACTTCGAGCCCTCCGTGTTCAGACCTTCTGCGCAGACACCGCGCTGGACCGTTTTTTCTGTGTTCGCGATCCTCTACCTGTACATCGCGCCAGGCGACGGCTCTCTTGGGACCGTCAGGGCGGGACACGCCCAGCTGCGAGGAACGAGTGCGGGGAAGGCGCGCGTCTACCATTACGAGAAATTCCACGTCAAGGACCGCAGCCACACGTTCTCCCTCCTTGCACCTTCGCCCGGGCTGGCTCGGACCAGGTCTGACCAGCTCGCTGACCCAACGCCATCAATGCAGTCGCCTGTGAGTGTAACCCCCGACGTCCGACAGTTGCTTTTCGCAGCTTCCACGTCTACGGTGTTCGCGAGGTGTCCCGAGCTCTCTGTGACTATGTTGCAGGAGCACTGGGAGAAAGAGGCAACGGACACGACGCCTCCACTGCATCCGCCTGTGGGTGTAGCCGAGGATGTCAGACAGTCGATTGATACGACTTTCACATCTACGGTGTTGGCGAAGCGTTCCGAGCTTCTGGAGATTCTGTTGCCGGAGCCGGGGGAGACACCGGCAGAAAACGGGCGAGAAAATAATGGAGGGTCTGACGAGCTTGTTGTCAGCATTCCGGAGGACCACGCCACGAATCTGGGACTATCCGTCTTCGATCCCCTGGATAATGACTTCCCGCATGTTTCACGCACTCCCCTTATCTGGCAGACCTGGATCCCCGTGTGGATTCTTTTGGCAATCGTGCAGTTGGTGGTGCCCAGTACAGTGACGACGCGACGCGCGACGAGTATTCCCATGACTCAGTTGTGGGGTGCTTCGAATGCCGATCGCGCAGCCCGCCCGGGATAGATGCCCATTGCGGCTTCGAGGCTCTCTACCACAGCGGCGCCGTTGGTGTGTACCAGGACTCCAGCGCCTCCTCGATACATTGAGGGGATTTCATTCACATCAACGGCACCCCAGTGCCGCCCATGACCTTCCTCATGCGCAGCCTGGCCGAACGGTGGGGCCAGCTAGGCGAGGAGGAGCGATGAGGGGCGCACTCAAGCGTCTTCCGCCCTGATGCACTTCAACAGGCTGCTGAAGGAGCGCGTCGACAACTCCCCCACTAGTTTCGGCATCCTCAGCGACAAGGCGCAGCAGGTTGGTGAACTCATGAATGGGTGCGAGGGACTCCGTTACCTCGTGCTGCGGGCGGTGGGCGTGTCGAACATCCAATTCACCATGATATTGTAACATTGCAGTGTGGCCTACCCGACGAACGAACAGCAGTTGTCACACATGACGGGCCATTTGCGACGGTTTGGGTACATGATCGATGGCTCACCAGGCAACCTCATTTCGGCTGTTCTCTCGACCCACCACCACACGCTCCTCACGGGTACGCCCTCGCAAAATCAGGCACTGAGTGCCTATGACACTGCGGCCCGATCGAGCTGGGATGGCATGAATCCAGCGACAGGGAGCCCACCTGCAGCTGCAGCCGCTGCCGATGCCAGCGCGGCATCCTCGGCACAGGCGGCATACCCAGCAGCAGTTGTCGACCTTGGACACCGAATCCGACACCACCAGCTCATTCGGCGAAAAGACTGCTGCTGATGATCCCGGGCAACGCGACGTTCCAGAGGCTTCCTTATCTGATGAGGGCGTCGGTGCTATCCGTGGCCAAGCCTTTGGGTTTCTTGTCCAACGGCTTCTTATCCAAGGGCTCCTTGTCCAAGAGTTCCAGACTCTGGGATCCTTTTCCAAGGGTCCCTTCTCTACTGCTCTTGCCGTAGCAGGACTCCTTACATACCGTGTGTGATTAATGTGTTGCAGATTTTCACAATTGGCCTTAGCTGCGTGGCCGGGAGGGGCGCGGGGCCTGGCTCTTTGCGGGCGCCGAGGCCTGGACGTGCCGGCGGTGCGCACCGTCATCTCGTACGACGTGGCCCAGGAGCGCGCTCGCACCTTGCAGCTAAGACGCTTTGGTCAAGAGCAGTTCGGGTTCGTCCGGTAGCAGATCATGGGAGCCATTGTGTACCCTCGCAGTTCCGTTGTCGGGGTGCGTCAGCGTTGACTAGCGCTTGGTAGTTGATGAGATAGCGTCGATGAGCCTCGCTTTGACGTCGACAAGCGTCGACCAGCGCCGAGTAGCGTCGATTCGCGCCGATTCGCAAAAGCCGACAAAATGGTATGGGAAGCCCCCATGGGTTGGTGCAGAAGGTTCGAAAAAGGGGTCGATGTTGCTTAGGTTTTGCATCGGTTGCTCCTCAGGGGCGCTCCAGAAAAGGCCTCGCCTTCGAGAGTCGAGCGAGTTGACGTCCCTTCCTGGTTGGATGGTTGGCGTAAACTCGTCGGAAAGCTGCGGAAGCAAAACCAGCCCCCCCAAGAAACGTCAGCATTTTTGGGAGTTGGGCTCAGGATTTCCAGAACCCGCTTCTAACGGAGAGTCAAGTCAAAGAAACGTAAACATGAATTTTCGACGGTCCGCGCGGATTTCTTGGATCTGCGCTGGGTTCCACTGGCGGCGCCTCTGGCGCTGTTTGATTTTTCCTTCCTCTACTCGAGCGCCTCTCGTGCACCCAGCCACTTCTAGGCCAAGGAAGGGCTCCATGGAGCGTCTCTGATGATAGTAGCTTGACTTGTGGGGCCCAAGCCCGGATAGCAGGGCGCAAAAATGGCGTGCAAAGGCCTGTAGAAGGAGCCTGGAAGCTCCTGGAGAGAGCTTCCGAAGGATTTTTTGGAGAGCTTCCGGGCAGACGTATTGGGAAACGCTTGGAAAAGGCCTCTGGGGACACGCTGCAAGTTCAGACCGTCCCCGCCGAGGCTTTCTGCCGGAACTCGGAACGAGCTCTGGGGCTCCCCTGCGGCTCCGGCTCCTTACGCTGAGCCCCTCTTAGCCCTCTTCGAGCTATGCGGGATCTTCATTCCCATGCTCTCTGTCGCCTGGGTGCACCGGGCGCAGCCCGCGCACGTCGTGGCCGAGCGCGTGGCTCCGAGCGGCCACGGCGCGCCTCGCGGGGGTCACCTTGACTGCGGGCGCGTGGTCTCCTGGTGTTGCGCAGCCCTGCAAGCGCTTGAGGCCGTGGCGCACCCTTCGCCGGAAGATGCCTGCCCGCGCCAGGCAGAGGCACCCTCAGAAGGCTGGATGCCTTCTGCGAGCCCCCGCCGCCTTCTGAGAAGGCCTGCCCTCGTTCTCCATCCCCCCCCTCTCGGCGCGCCGCCGACTTCGGAACACGGCAGGACCCCCCCACGAGAAAGGACAGCACTCCAGCCGGGTGTTGCTAGAAGTACCCCTGACCCAAGGTGCCCCCAGGGGTGGCCCAGACGGCCTCCATAGCACTCCTCGCGAGGCCCAGGGGGCCCCAGGGGCCCCAAGTTGGAGCGAAAAGCTGGGGGCACCTGGGGCCAGGGGAACGTTTGGCACCCCCCCGATCTTGGGGCGGTCCCGTAGCCCTGCTGGGCTGTCCTGGGGGCTTCCCGGACAGTCTTGGGGCCGTCTCTGGCCCACCACTCGGGCCGTCTTGGGCCGGCAGCTGATTTTTTCCTGAGGCAGTTTGCAGCGCAGAATCTTCGGAAGCCATATGCATGACTTTGGCTGCCCTGATGCGCACGCTCTGAAACGCAGCACGTGCCGTGCTCAAAACGCACGTGCTAACACGCTGCGCATTAGCTCGGCACGTGTTGGTCTGCGTTTTTGCGAGCGTGTCGCGCCACACGTACGGTTTAAGTCTAGGTGTTGCGCTCCGTGCCAATACGCTACGTGTTGCGCCTTGAATATCGGGGCAGCTAAGTGCATGACTTGTCGGCAGCTTGTCATGATTGGGTGCTTTTCCAGTCCTCTTTGGCGCGCCTCTTGGGGTCTTCTTGGGGCTACCTTGCGTCTCTCTTGATCGTCTTGAAGCATTCAGGGGGCTTCGTTGTGTCGTCTTGGGCTGGTCTTGGAACGTCTTCCAGCCGTCTTGGGGCGACCTTGGACAGTCTTGGAGCCCTGTGGAGGCAGGGCCCAGGCGCCAAGCGGGATCCCAGCTGAGGGGTGGTGGTGCTTTCACGGGCCGGCGTGCGCCAGGGGGGGAGCTTCCCTCCTTCGGCGCGGCCTCCAGCCTTCCGAGAAACTTTTTCGTGTGATAAAAGAAAGTACTACTGTGATTAAACAAGTCCAGTGTGATAGCCAAGTTTCTGTTAACAGCAATTCTGCATCCGTCTTTTCCGAAGCCACAGAGGCACTCTCAGAGGGCTGCCTTGAGTCTCTCTTGATCATCTTGAAGCATTCAGGGGGCTTCGTTGGGCCAGGGGCACTTCCAGCAGCGCCCGATCCAGCGCTCCACGCCGTGCGCGCACGGCGGCGGGCAGCGACGCCGGCCGCGGCCCGCCGAGCGCCGGCGCGGCGCCCGGCGGTGCCGCGCGGGAGTGCGGCGCCTGGTGGTGCCGCCGGGCCTCCGCCGGCGGCCCCCCGCCCCTGCAGGAGCGGGCCTGAGCCGCAGGGTGCGGCGCCCCGGCAGTGCCTCCAGGCGTCAATGGGCCCAGGCGGCCAGCATCCGCTCTCCTGTGTCTCCCTCCTCCTCCTGCTCCTCCTCCTCCTGCTCCTGCTCCTCCTCCTCCTCCCCCTCCTCCTCCTCCTCCATCTCCTCCATCTCCTGCGCCTCCTCCTCCTCCTCCTCCTGCTCCTGCTCCTCCTCCTGCTCCTGTTCCTCTTCCTCCTCCTCCTGCTCCTGTTCCTCCTCCTCCTCCTCCCTTCCTCCTCCTGCTCCTCCTCCTCCTCCTCCTCCTCCTCCTCATCCTCGAGCGTGGAGGCATCTTGTTGGTGGTTCGTGCGTGGGAAAAGATCCAGGGGCGGACTTGAGCCTGAACCCAGTGTCGTGGGATATCGCCAGGGCTATGGTCAGCCCGTCGGGTCCCGAGGCCAACCAAGCGGCACAGACGAGACCTTGCGGAGGTCCGCGCGGATCTCTTGGGATCGGCGCCGGGGAGGAGGCGTGGGGAGGGGGGTTCATCGCTGACCCAGGACTTCCGCGCGGACGTTCTTTGGTTTTTCCAGGTGCGGGGCATCGCCCGAGCCGTGGTCCGCCCATTGGATCTTCCATGCTCATCCTGCTCCAGCCTCGTCTGCTTCTATGGCGGATGAGGCACGGGCGAGACACGAAGCCCTGGTCCAGAGCCCAGTGCCATGTCCCGTTCCCGTGCCTCCGTGCTCGTCGTCCCGAGCGTGATCGTTTGTCTTGCACGCCCGGCTCACGTGCGCGATCTGCCCGTCTTGGTCGTACACCGCCACCCGTCGCATCGGCAGGGCTTTGCCTGGTGAGCCAGGCGCATCCCTCCTCGCAGCATTGCCTAGCCTGTCCCCGACCCCACTGGGCCACGACGTCTCAGCCCTGCCACCGGCTCTCAGGGTGGGCCCCGCGAAGCCCGAGGGAGCAGGCACATGCCCCCGCCCAGGTAGGCGAGTCGGCCAGTGGGTCCAGGGCCACGCCAGTGGGGATACGGTAGGGGGAAAGAGTTCGAAGACACTCCCCCGCCTCCCCAAACTCAAAGGTGGCACGCGCAGGGGAGACTGCGGTCGAAGTGCAACTCGTCAGATCCACCGCCAACTCTGAGCATTGGGTGGAGGGGGAGGCGTTGACCGACGAATGTGTCATGCGTGTTCGCTATTCTCTTCCGAGGCCTGTAGGGATCGGTTCAACGATGCTTATGCTTTGTCTTCTGCCGTCTGCCCTTCGCCCTCTTCGTATCCCCCCCTGCCGGGTCCCCTCCTCGTCTCGGTCAGCGGCGGCGGCGGCGGCGGCGGCAGCGTCGTCGGTGTCGGCGACGGCGTCGTCGTCGGCATTGGCCTCGTCGGCGTCGGCGTCGGCCTCGTCGGTGTTGGCATCGGCGTGTGGGCGTGTGTGCGCGCGTGTGTGTTTGTGTGTTTGTGTGTTTGTGTGTTTGTGTGTGTGTGTGTGTGTGTGTGTGTTTGTGTGTGTGTGTGTGTGTGTGTGTGTGTGTGTGTGTGTGTGCGTGCGTGCGTGCGTGTGTGCGTGTGTGCGTGTGTGCGTGTGTGCGTGTGCGTGGGCGTGTGCGTGGGCGTGGGCGTGGGCGTCGTCGTCGTCGTCGTCGTCGTCGTCGTCGTCGGCGTCGGCGTCGGCGTCGGCGTCGGCGTCGGCGTCGGCGTCGGCGTCGGCGTCGGCGTCGGCGTCGGGTCGTCGTCGTCATCGTCGTCGTCGTCGTCGTCGTCGTCGTTGTCGTCGCCGTTGTCGTCGCCGCAGCCGCCGTCGGAGGCGGGGGGTAGAGGCGGGTGCGGCCCCACGGCGGCGGGGCGGTCTGGCCTCGCCCCGCCGCGCCCAGACCCGGCAGGACCGGGAGCGCCACCTCCACCGCGTGGGCCGGACTGGGCGTGCCGACGCTGCTCAGGCCCGCGGGTAGTCAGTCAGGGGGGGAGGAGGAGGAGGAGGAGGGGGAGGAGGAGGAGGAGGAGGAGGAGGAGGAGGAGGAGGAGGAGGAGGAGGAGGAGGAGGAGGACGAGGAGGTGAGGAGGAGGAGGAGGAGGAGGAGGAGGAGGAGGGGGGGTCAGATGTGTGTGAAGACCGCGAGTCTCCTCTTTCTATCCATCTATCCTGCTATCCTCTCGGCGCGGGTGTCGGTTTTGACATTGCGCCCGACCTTAATCGGTCCGTGGGGGAAGAGAACGCTTTCTCTCCCTCACCTCATCCTCGACCTACGGATCTTACGGTAGGTTCGACCCTTTGGTCATTATTTCCCGGTCACATCAGAGGACCAGTGACATGCAGCCGTTGGGAGCCTGCCAGCGTGTTTTGCTCCCATCGTTTCTGACGGCAGGCCTGGCGTGTCCTCGAAGGTGGCACGCTGATGGATTGACAACGGCCGCGTGTCATGAATATCGGGTATTGACAGAACGCCCCCCCCCCCCAGACAAGTCGACTGAGAAAATCTGCACGGTTCCACTCGACATTGGTATTCGAATTGACCGGTGCAGTCCGCAGCCGGTTTCGCTAATCGACCTGCGTCTCGACAGATAACTTCGGGTGTGGACTCGATTAGTCACCCCGCCGGGGTGCACTTGGAACGCGGTGCCTTTCGCACGTGGATTGCCCTTGGCAGCTTTCACAAGGGGGCGCTTTGCGAAAGGGTGTCCTGTCCACCCACGCGCATACCGTCCTTGCTCCCCCAGTCAGGCGGCAGGCCCAGGACCGATGCGCATCGCTTCCGAGTCTTCTGGGAGCGCCCGCGGGGCGCTCCGCGGGAGCGGCCGCACGGGGCCTGCCGCACGGCTGCTCCACCGTTCCCGACGGCAGGCCTGGCGTGTCTTCGCCGCTGGCACGCTGCGGGCTCCCCCCCCCCCGCTGCGTGTCGTTCGTGCTGTCCTCGCTCCCCCCCGCCGGGCGGGCCCCGTGGACCGAGACGCATCGCCCTAGAGCCTTCTTGGAGCGCCCGCGGGGCGGTCTCCGCAGCGCTCCTGGACCCGCCATCGGCGCCCGACAGCCTCCCCCGGGCCCACCGGCTCTCTCGGAGGCCTCCTCGCCGTGTCTCGCTTTCCGCCTCTGTCTTCGTCGAGGGATGGGAGGAGGAGGAGGAGGAGGAGGAGGAGGAGGAGGAGGAGGGAGGAGGAGGAGGAGGAGGAGAGAGGAGGATGAGGAGGAGAGGAGGAGGAGAGAGGAGGGGAGGAGGAGGAGGAGGAGGGGAGGAGGAGGAGGGAGGAGGAGGAGGAGGAGGAGGAGGAGAGTGGCCACACCACCCCCCACAGAAGACGGCCGCCGCGGTCACTCCCACCCGCCCCTCCCGCCACAGGGGCAGCGCCCGAGGCTCGGCACACAGGCAGCAGAGGGACCACGGGACGCCCGCACAGGATGAAGACATCTGCCGCAACGTGCATGTTTGTATTTGTTGTTGTTGTGGCTGCTTTTGAGGTTGCTGTTGCTGTTGCTTTTGCTGTTGCTGTTGTTGTTGCTGTTGTCGTCGTTACATATGCTGTTGCTGCTGCTGTTGCTGCTGTTAGTGCTGTTGTTGTCGTCGTCGTCGTTGTTGTTGTTGTTGCTGCTATTGTTGCTATTGTCTATTATTGTTGTTGAACTCTCATTCTTGAAGAATAATTATTGTTGATCCCCCCCCACCGGTGCACATTGATTTTTTTCGATTGAAGTGCCACCCCCGGGGCTCGCACCTTGTTTTTTTCTCAAGGAAAGTCTTCCTGCTCAAACTGTGCCCCTGCCCCCCGGGCTACAACAACAACGGCTCCCGCCTGAGACTTCCTCGATTTTTACTCAGGACCCCCGCTCCCGCCTGAGACTTCCGCGCAATTTACTCAGGAAAGGCGCTCCCGTCTGAGACTTCCTCGCAATGTAATCAAGACCCCCGCTCCCGCCTGAGACTTCCGTGCAATTTACGTGGGAACGGCGCTCCCGCCTGAGACTTCTTCGAATTTTACTCAGGACCCCCGCTCCTGCTTGACATTTCCGCGCAATTGACTCAGGAACGGCGCTCCCGCCTGAGACTTCCTCGCAATTTAGTGAGGACCCCCGCTCCCGCCTGAGACTTCCGTGCAATTTGCTCAGGAACGGCGCTCCCGCTTGAGACTTCCTCGCAACTTAGTCAGGGCCCCCGCTTCCGCCTGAGATTTCCTCACAATGTACTCAGGACTGCGCTCTCGCGTGCGACGTCCTCACAAATTATTCTGGAATTGCGTTTCGGCGCTCAGGAACCACGCACGCGCCAAGGACGCCTTCACAACGTGGTATCTTCCCTCTTCCTTCGTCCTTCCCCCTCCCCTTCCTCCCACTCTTCCTCGTTCTTCCCCTCCTCCTCTTGCAGGGCCCGCGCCAATTCCAATGGCGGGCAGAGAGATGTACGCCCCCGAAGGATTGTCCGCCCGTTCCGGTTTGCCCGTACGTCTAAGCCCGCCGGCCCCAGCAAAGAGAAATAATCCCCCCGAAAGGGGTGTGATCGAAGACGAAGAGGGCGGGTATCGAGGGTGTAGGGTATACGTGTTGATTGACTCGCGGGCAAGTAAGAGCGTACAGCCTTAAAATGGTTGTTGTTGTTGTTGCTGTTGTTGAACATTATTTCTTCTTAAGAATAATTATTGTTGGGGCCCCTGGTGCACGACCCCCCCGCCGCGCCTAGGCCGCAGCCTCATTTTCATCATTTTCGTGAGGAAGTCTCAGGCAAAACGGGGGAGTCCGGATCCGGTTGTGTTGTTACGATCGGTTTTCCCTTGCAAAAAATAAGCTAAAGTGGACATTTCTTGTTCTAACATAACCAAACTTCAAGAATCCCTTGCAACAAATAAGGTAAAGTGGACATTCGCGCGCGCAAGACGAAATCCTTCCAAAACCTTAGTTTTCGTAGCGATTTTAACATAAAAACATCAAAAAACCAATGGTTTTTCAAAAAAATGTCAAAATTTCATCCCGCGCGCTCTTGCGGATTCGTAGGAAACCCAACACTTTTTAATCATTTCTGTCAAACGGGCTTTTGCGAGCAACTTTTTCGAACTTCTGCAACAACGGTTGCGCACCTGCCAGGGCCATCATCCCTGTCAAATAATACCATGCGGGACACATTCGTTTTTTCTTCGCGCGCGCACGCCGTCGTCGTCGGCCGCGGGGCCCTGAATAGTAGCCACGGTCGTCCGCATGCCACGAAGTGAAGTGTCCGAACGTCATAGGGCGGGAAGCTGGGTGTGGGTGGTGGCGAAGAGTCGTTTGGAAATTTGGTAGAGCTTGAACCGGCCCCCCCACAAAGTGGGGGTATTGCCCGCCTCCTATGAAAACCCTGGCACTGGTGAGAACGGAGTGTCCCCAGTCTTAAATGATTGTTGTTGTTGTTGTTGTTGTTGTTGTTGAACATTATTAATTCTAAAGAATAATTATTGTTGGGGCCCCTGGTGCGCGGCCCCCCTGCGCCGCCTAGGCCGCAGCTACATTTTCATCATTTTCGTGAGGAAGCCTCAGGTAAAACGATGTGATCAAGATCCGGTTGTTTTGTTGTAATCCGTTTTCCCTTGCAAAAAACACTATAAAATGACATTTCTTGTTCTAATATAATCAAATTTCAAGAATCCCTTGCAAAAAATAAGGTAAAGTGGACATTCGCGCGCGCAAGACGAAATCCTTCCAAAAGCTTAGTGTTCGGAACGATTTTAACATAAAAACATCAAAAAACTAATGGTTTTTCAACAAAAAAATGTCAAAATCTCATCCCGCGCGCTCTTGCGGATTCGTAGGAAACCCAACACTTTTTAAACATTTCTGTCAAACGGGCTTTTGCGAGCAACTTTTTCGAACTTCTGCGACAACGGTTGCGCACCTGCCAGGGCCATCATCCCTGTCAAATAATACCATGCGGGACACATTCGTTTTTTCTTCGCGCGCGCACGCCGAAATCTCCAAAAACCATTGGGCTTCTTAAGAATTTTAGCACCGCGCATCATAAAATCACACGAATCGCACCGTAGGTCCTCGAAAAACACCTGCACGACTTTTCAAAATTTCCACCCGCGCGCGCTGTCCGAATCCTAAAAAAAACCAATGGTTTTCCAACATTTATGTTACATGAGCTCGCGCGAGCTACTTTCGCACGCTCTTGCAACGGGGTTCGCGCGCCTGCCAGGGGCCACAATCCCTTGCGGTTGCGCCATAGGTTGCGCCCTCGGCCGCCGAGAATAAAACGTCCCCCTATTGGTTGCGCCATAGGTTGCGCCCTCGGCCGCCGAGAATAAAACGTCCCCCTACTTGTTGCGCCATAGGTTGCCCCAGGAGGCCTTCAAGAGGATGCTCATATGCAACAGATGTTCTGTGGAAGGCTTAACAACTTCTGTGGGTTCACAAGGCTTAACAACTTCTGTGGGTGTACGAACGTAGGCTTAACAACTTCTGTGGGTGTGTACTCCACGCCAGTGTAGTAGCCACGGTCGTCCGCAGGCCACGAAGTGAAGTGTCCGAACGTCATAGGGCGGGAAGCTGGGTGTGGGTGGTGGCGAAGAGTCGTGTGGATATTTGGTAGAGCTTGCACTGCCCCCCCACAAAGTGGGGGTATTGGCTGGCGTCGCATGAAAACCCTGGCACTGGTGAGAACACTGAGCGTTCGGGTAAAGTGATTGTTGTTGTTGTTGTTGTTGTTGTTGTTGTTGTTGTTGTTGTTGTTGTTGTTGTTGTTGTTGTTGTTATGGTCGTCGTTTTTTTGCGGTTGTTGTTGCTGCTGCTGTTGCTGTTGTTGTTGCTGCAGTTATTGTTGTTGCTGTTGTTGCTGTTGCGGTTGTTGTTGCTGTTGATGTTACTGCTGTTGTTGTGGTTGTTGTTGTTGTGGTTGTTGTTGCTGTTGTTGTAGGTGTTGTTGCTGTTGCTGTTGTTGTTATATCTGTTGTAGTTTTTGTTGTTGTTGTGGTTGTTGTTGTTGTTGTTGTTGCTGTGGCTGTTGCTGTTGCTGTTGTTGTTGTTGTTGTTGTGGTTGTTGTTGGTATTGTTGATGTTTTGTATGGCTTTTGGAATGGATTACGGGTGCGTGTTTTGTGGGCTCGGGTTTTTAAAGTGGTCAAGTGGTGGAGGTGTTATATATCGAGTGGTACCCCCCTCCCCGCAGGGGAAGAAAATGATTGGAAAAAACAACTCGCTGAACTACTGACGCCCTGAAGGGCTGGTGGGAATATCATCCCCCTTCCCTTCTTCGTTCTCCCGTCGGGCATCGACCATTTGTCCCTACCCCCGCTGCTGCCTTCAACTCTGGACGCCAAGCGGGTACGGTATGGATGAAGTATTCAGCTCCAGAGGCAGGGTTTTTATCTGTACCCCCCTCCGACCCCGCTAAAAGTTGGGACGTGGCCAGGAATATAGATGGAGCATCGCGCACCTGAATAATTCAAATATCAACCTCCCTCTTGCCCTCCCGCAGACTTCGACGTCGCGTTTTTTTCGCAACGCGGCTGCCCAGAGGTCCAGACCCTTTCCAGTGGACCAGCTTCTCCTCCCGAGTCTTAAGTCGGGCCTTTCCCTCTACAGGGGGAATATTCAAAAATCGTCCAAAAATAATCTGGGGACTATGTTTTTAAAGTATTTTTTGACCATTCGTTTTTTTGAGTACTGGCTATTTTTTGCCAAAGATCCCCCTGTAGGGGGTCTTGCCCGACTGAACCCGAGTCGTTGCTTGGCGGCCCCCGGAGGCCAAGAGTGGCCGACGCCTTCCGTCGTGATCCTCTGACGTCGCGAGGGCGTCCAGACCCCTGCCCTTTTTTCTCCTCCCCGGCCCCCTCCGCCGCGGGTGGGAGAGCGCAGGGCGCGGCGTACGCCCTGGTGGAGCGCGGCAACGCCGCGGGCGCCAGCATGCTGTGCAGGCACCTCAGGCCGGCCACGCCGTCTTCGCCAGCGCCGCCGCGGCCGCCGTCGTCGTCGCTTCCCTGCGGTCTTGGGCGTCGCCGCCGTCGCGAAGATGGTGGGCATCGTCGTGAGTGTCGTCGTCGTTGTCGTCGTCTTCGTCTTCGTCGTCGCCGTATCCGTCATAATGTTTGTTCTGATCTTCTTCGTTTTCATCTTCGTCTTTGTCGTCTTCGTCCGTCGTCGTCGTCTTCGTCCTACTCCTCCTCCTTTTGCTACTTGTCCTCCTCCTCCTCCTCCTCCGCCTTCTCCTCCTCCTCCTCCTCCTCCTCCTCCTCCTTCTTCTCTCCAGACCACCATGCATTGCAAGCAACGTCTTGCGCTTTCTCCGCCATCTCGGCGTCCGGGGCCTTCTTCGGCCCCCCAGGCCCGCGAGCCGCAGTTTTGCGGGAGAGCGCGCCGCTTTCAGTTGGATCTGAGGCCCCGTGCTTCCCCTGCCTTCGCGCCCGCGGCACGGCGCCCACGGCGAGAATCGATGCGTGCCTGCGCGCCGTTTTTGTTGTTGAATGCGGCGCCTGCGCTGTGGGCCATGGACGCAATCCCGAGCTGGCGGCCACCTGCAAGGGTCGCTCGCTCGCCCGTGCCGTCTCACTCGGAGGAGGAGGATGGGGAGGAAGAGGAGGAGGAGGACGAGGAGGAGGATGGGGAGGAGGAGGAGGAGGAGGAGGAGGAGGAGGAGGAGGAGGAGGAGGAGGATGGGGAGGAGGAGGAGGAGGAGGAGGAGGAGGAGGTGGAGGAGGAGGAGGAGGAGGAGGAGTAGGAGGAGGAGGAGGAGGAGGAGGAGGAAGGGATGCTTAGGGCGAAGGGGAACGCAGGAGGAGGACGTCCCGTGCCGGCAGAAAGGGCGCTCCCCCCCTCCCCAGGACTGGTGGCCCTTTTGCTGCCCCCCCTCGCCAGGGCGCCAAGCCACCTTCTCCTGCAGGTTGGCGTGGCACTGCGCTTGGTTTCGTGGTCCTCTGATTCCGAAGCCGCGCCCAGGTCGCGAGTTTCATGCCGGGTCAGTTTTCCAGCCCTCGATTTGCGATTCAAAGTCGCGGGCCTCTTGGCGCGGTGATTGTGATTCGGCCGTCCCCCGACGGCCCCTGAACCTCCTCTCTCTCCCCCTCCCCCTCCCCCTCGCCATCTCCCTCTCCTTTCTCCTTCTCCTCCTCTTCCTCCTCCTCTTCCTCCTCCCTATTATCCTTTCCCTAGGAAGCATACCATATCAATAATAATACCACTGCTAATACTAATCACAATATTAATAAGACGGCGAGTGAGACGAATCGTACTAGTAAGAAGAAGAAGGCGAGTCATAGTAAGATTAATCATGCGAAGACTACTAAGAATATTAATCAGAGAAATGATAAGAATGCTGGGAAGAGGACGGGTGGCGCGGATAGCACAGGCAGCACAGAGAGCATGGGGACTACCACGCTGGTAATCGCCTCAGCGCCACAGTTCCGAGTCGCACTGGCCGCAGCATAGAACCAGAAGACGAGGAGGCGGAGCAGCTAGGCGTACTCAGGAGATCACCCACGGCAAGCGAAGTGTGCACCATCCTGGCCAGGACGGGAGCGAAGGAATCCGCAGCGCGGCAGGACCTCGCGCGGAGCTGGAGAGAGAGAGAGAGAGAGTGAGAGAGAGAAAAAAAGAGAGAGAGAGAAAGAGAGAGAGAGAGAGAGCGATGGAGCCGCCAGCCGCACGCGCGTCGCTCAAGAATCTGTGAGAACCGGGGCGGTGAAGGCAGCTCGCCAGAGGACAGCACAGGCCAGAACAATTCCAACAGGGTCCACCGACGCAGCCAGCGCAGCCCAGTCGGCCCCCGCCAGAACCAGTGCCACCTTCCAGCGATCTGCACGATGGATGAGAGCATCGCGTTCGAGATCAGCAAAGGCCCCGAGAGGCTCGAGAGGAGACGTCGACAGCAAGCGAGCACAAACAGCACAATGACAACCTGTCCAGAACTCGCAGAACTGTCCTGAGAAGGAAGAGAAAGACGACTGACATTCAAGCGGGTGGGAAATGGAGCCCGAAGCAACCACGCCACGTCATACACTGCCTACTGCGCCACAAACCCAGGCGAGAACGACGCACAACCACGACCCTCCCTCCCCCAATCCTCCGTCCTCGCGCACGACAGGGGCATATTGGCTCACGGGAGTGCGACAGACAGGACGGCAGACAACTTTGCCGACTCTCAGATGCCAGAGGCGGGCGAGGCGTCGGGGTCCGAGGGGTGCGAGGCCCACGGGCAACTGCCGCAACAGGCGGGCAAACACATGGACGGCAGGATCCGTATCCCCAGCCCCAAGATGGACCCCATACGCATCAGTCACGCCAAGGACATCCGCGCGAGTCACGACTCAGCGACAAGATATCGCACCGATGCTCATGGTGGGGTCAACGGAGTTGCAGAGCATCTCCCTCAGCATGCTCGTGCAGACGGGGGGCGGACAGGCGTTGGTGGACAAAACCGAAAAAGAAAGGCATGCACGACTTTCTTTGCATATCCCCAGGCAGATCAAGCCACGCGACATGGGTCACAAGCTGACCATCTCGGTGGATGCGCAGGTGGAGACTTACCGGGTCGGGTCATAGTCAGCCGGCAAGATCTTCGCAGCGATTGAAGAAGAAGGAGGAGGAGAAGCGGCCTGCGGACCGCTTGGACCGACAGGTTCGATGGATCTCAACTCGGACGAGGAGGAGCGATAATGCTGCCAATCAGATACAGGAGCCCCAGCAAGCGGCAAGGCCTCGAAGGGCCCAGCGACAGAACGACTCCCACCAGGAACCAGACGGGGAGGGGAAACAAATAGCAGCTTCCCTATCGACAGCCGTTTCGGGCTCGCTGATACAGAACTGGGGCACCGATGCAGTGCGGTGCCAGAACTGCACACCAGGGACCCATGGGAGGGGCCAAGATGATCACGAATGGGGAACAGGGTATCAATTTCGCAAGGCTTTTAGCGATGGAGGCGCTGGAAGTGTTCTCAGGAGTCACCGCCATCAACGAGATGCTCTCGCTGACGGTGGGCAATGCAGGAGTCGCAGACGATGAAGAGCACCCTCCAGGCCAGCCGTGACAACCCAGCCCACTTCATGTCGAAAGCTGGGCACAGGCTGGGGTTCCGTCTGCTCGGGGGCCTCGCTGGCCACGTCTGGATCTACCAGAACATCACGGGGGCTATCAACATGATGGGCGGACTACGCCAACCCGAGCCAGGACATGATTACAATGGGACCTGGGGAGATGGACCACCACTCTCCAGACGAGGAGGACAGCGCCGCCGAGGGCACTGGGGCAAGGGCGGCTACGAGGTCGCGAAGCGCAAGAAGAGCAGTTCAGAGTACTGATGTGGAGATGTCAGATACGCGTTGGAGGTTTGAGAAACATGGATGAACTACCAACGCTCCGCGGAGGCACCGCCAACGGGGAAGCTGCTACGGGGCCAGGGCTACGACGTGGAATTAGGGAACATTGACAAAAGCAACCACGAAACAGTCGGATGTGAAGGTGTAGTTTGGCTGATTTGGCTCAAACGACAGAAGCCAGAATGCTCCGACCCCCGACACAGGCGCTCCTCGCATGACTTTGCCCGCCAGACGCGGAACGTGACGTCCGCTGATGGCGAGATGAAGCTGGGGCTGAACCAGGAGGAGGGGGCAGTCTAGAATGAGAAGGACATGGGTACGTCGCGCTCGACATACGAGAACAAGAGGAAGAAGGCGAAGTCCCCAGTTCCTGTCTTTCGTGGACAAGCGACAGCACAGGAGGTGGGTGACATGATGTGCGTGCTTGACAAAGCCATCGAGAACATCATGGGCTGCGCCGAGGGGCGGAAGAACGTCCAAGGAGTCCTCCTGATCCAGATACCAAACGAAGCGCCATCACCAGCAGCTTTGGCCAAGCATCGCGAGAACCCAGGCTGCCTCCATCCTAAGCAGTGGAGACGCTGTGGCGAAACCAGAGCGCTTGCTCATGCAGAAGGACCATCTGAAGACTGCAGAAGATTTATTTCGGAGCTTTCCATGTCTGAGGCCTCCTCTACGGCGAGGTCGGCGACTAGACGGGGTCGCGCATGCCGAGCAAGTAGGACCACCTCGCCCAGCAGATGGGCGAGAATTTTCAGGGTTTGAAGATGTGCTAGGACTAGGACAAGAAGCCCGAGGGGGAGAGAAGCGACCCGTCTGCCTGGACTCGCCACGGATGAATACCAGGAGCCGGGCACTCGGAACGGGTGCGGCATACAGCTCGCGAGCCAGCGCAGAGGGGTCCACCGAGCCGCCAGCTGGGCTGCGCCCGCCAGTGAGCACGGGGTGCCATTGCGGATGGGTAGTGGTGGGCGAGGCGAAGCTGGTTGACTTAGGTAATTGATGGCCACCGCAGAGCAGAGCAAGGAGGGATCCTGGCCGCCGTGGTAGGAAGACGTCTTCCCACTGAAGAGGAGCGCGAATATTGGCCCATGTTCTCCCATCATGTGAGAAGGCGCGAGTCTGAGCGAGAAGCAGTCTGTGCATCCGACAAGGAGAGATATTCGGCTGTGGAGTCCGACTGCGAAGACAACAACGCTGGTGTGCTGACAGAGGTCCAATGGACAGACAACGCCATGGGGGTCACAGGCGGAGGACTTTACGACAGGGGACCAAGAGAGACATATGACGCACGTAGGGACAAACTTACAGCTCGTGGACGCAACTGGGTTAGACTAGAACCGTACGACGGCATAGCGCAACAACGCGAGACACTTGTAAATCTATGTATGCATGTTTCAAGTCAGGTGTGTGTATATATATATGTATAATATGTCGTGACCCCATTGCGCCAGAAGGCCTCCAGGGGTCACTCCGCCGACTCCCACAACAAGAGTTGAGCCAACATGTTGCGCACCGTAATCTAAACAACAGAAGTCTGGCTATGGTTCTTGTCTATATTTCAGCGGAGTTGACGGGCGCCTCGAGCGCTGGCCTTGGCGACGATTTCTTTTGTCTCCTTCGGGCCCCTCGCCTCTTCCTCCCTCGCCTTGTCCCTTAGAGTCCCGCGTTGCCCCTGCTCTCCCGCCCTGTCGCGCACTGTCTGTCTGCTGCCTGTCCCCCTTTTCCTCTCTCCCCCACGCGCTCCTGCTAGCCCGTGGCAGGGGCTCTCCTTCACACTCCTCCTCCTCCTCCTGCTCCCCCTTCTGCTCCTCCTCCTCCTCCTGCTCCCCCTCCTGCTCCCCCTCCCCCTCCTCCTCCCTCCTCCTCCTCCTCCTCCTCCTCGTCCTCCTCCTCTTCCTTCTTCTCCTCCCTCTGCTCGTTCGCCTGCGTGCTTTCTTTCCTTGCCCTTGGCCTGAGGCGGGATAGGCACTGGGCGCGGGCGCAGAGGGGGAACGCGGCGGGGGGGGGGGGGGGGGCAGAGAGAGGGCGAGCGTCGGGCCGCGCGCGCGCGCCGACGTCCGGGCCGCGCCCGGCGCCGCCCGCCGGCCCACGTGTTCTCGAAGTGCCAAGCAGCGGCCCCTTTCCCTCCCCCTCCCTTCCGTCCGTCGCGAGCGGTCGTCAGCCGTCCCTTCTCCCTTTTGCTTGGAGCGGCCTCCTCGCCCCGAAGGCGGCCAGGGGCGCCCCTCCCCCCCCCCCCCTTGCTCGTGCTCTGGCAGCAGCAGGGCTTGAGAATGGCCTCCTGCAGCGCCCCCCTCCTTCCCCGCGCCTTCTTCTGCGAAGGCCCCGGGGGGCCGCCGAAGGCAGGCCTCTGCGAGGGCAGGGCCCGTGCCTTTATTTTTGCAGACGCCCTTGAAAGTCCGCGGCCTCCTGTACGGGAGCCGATATTCGGATTAGCCTCCATTGCGAGTAACCTCGACCTCCTTTTCATCCTCCTCCTCCTCCTTCTCCTCCCCCTCTTCCCCTTTTTCGTCCTCCCTTTTTTCTCCTCTCCTCAGCTTTCGCATCCTCTTTCTTTTCATTGTCCTCCTTGTGCTCCTCCTCCGCCTCCTCCTCCTCGTCCTCCTCCTCCCTCCTCCTTCTGCCCCTCCTCCCCCTCCTCTTCCTCCCTCTCCTCTGTCTCCTCCTCTTCTTCCTTGTCTTCCCCCTCCCTGTCCTCCTCATGCTCCTCCTCCTCGTCAACTTTTGTTCCTCATGCACAATTTCTCCCTGTCCTGCCCCGAGGCCAGTCGGAAGGTCGTTGCCGGGCGTTTTGTTTGAGACTTCTTTGCCATTTGTGAGCCGGAAGCCTATAAACTGGCAACTGTTCCACAGATGGAGGGCGGGTTGGTTTTTCAAATGTGGCTCTCGTCTGAGCGCCGCGCACATTCGTTTCAAAAGCTGGTAAGAGTTTCACGGATTGAGTGTGGGTGGTTTTCAACATGTTTTTTTTGCGGGGCCGCGCACACTCGTTGAACAAGTGCAAGAGCTTCACGGATTGAGGGCTGGCAGTTTTCAATATGTGGGTCTCGCCTTAATGCCGCGCTCATTCGTTTCAAAAGTTTTCAAGAGTTTCACGGATTGCGGGCGGGCCGTTTTCAAAGTGTGGTTTTCGCCTGAGCGCGCCCGCATTCGTTGAACACACACTGCATGATGTACGTGGTGGATTGAGGGCGGGTCGTTTTCAGAATGTGGCTCTCGCCGTAGCGTCGCACACATCCGTCTTAACAATTTGGAGCAACTTCGCGGATTGAGGGCGATTCCTCTTCACAATGTGGCTCTCGCGTCAGAGCCACGCCTATTTGTTGTACAAATGCATTTACAAGAGTTCACGGATTCCAAAGACTAACGTACCAGAAATCGATTCAGGAGTGTGAGAGCACAACAGTTACGTTGGCTCGCGGTGTTGAAGTCCCAAGAATGGTGTTCTGGCACGGTTCACGGTTGTCAAGACAACAGTCGCAGTGACTCGTGGCGTTGAAGTCTTGAGTTTCGCCACGCATCATGGTCTTCACACGGTTGTTCCCCAACGGGGCATTTTTGCCAGTGGAAGTAAATCTTCCCAGGTGCCTATGAGGAGGGAACTTGGAGGGAGAGTGTATTTATTTCAGCATCGCTGATGACTCTTGGGTTTGCATTGTTCCTCCTCCTCCTCCTCCTCCTCTCCCTCCTTCTCCTCCTCCCCCTCCTTCTCCTCCTCCTCCTCCTCCTTCTCCTCCTCCTCATCCTCTTTCTTCTCATCCTCCCCTTCCCCCTCGTCGGCCTCCACCTCGTCGTTATCCCTCCCGCAGCCGCCCCGCCCCTTGTCGCGAGGCTCTGCGGAGTTCCGGCGCCGCCGCAGCTGCTGCGGGCCGCGCGGGGGCGCGAAGCGGAGAGTGCAGGCGCGCCCTTTGAAGGCGAGGGGGCGGAGGAGGAGTCAGAGAGGGAGGGAAAGGAACAGGAGGAGGAGGAGGAGGAGGAGGAGGAGGAGGAGGAGGAGGAGGAGGAGGCGGACGAACAAAAGCAGGAGAAGGAGGAGGTGGTGGAGGAGGAGCTGAAGGAGGAGGAGGGAGGAACACGAGGAGGAGAAGGAGGAGGGACGAAAGAGAGGAGGGAGGAGGAGGAGGACAGGAGGAGGTGAACGGAGGAGGAGGAGTAGTGAGGACGAGGGACGAGGAGGAGAGGTGAGGTAGGATGAGGCGGGGGAGGCGGAGGGATGGGGGAGGAGGAGGAGGAGGAGGAGGAGGGAGAGCAGCAGGAGACGAGGAGGAGGTGGTGGAGGAGGAAAGAGGACAAGGCGGACGCGGAGAGCAGGGCAGGACGGGGAGGAAGAGGAGGAGGAGGAGCAGCAGGAGGAGGAGGATGAGGAGGAGGAGGGAGGGCGAGGAGGAGGGGAGGATAGAGGCGGCGGAGGAGGAGGAAGGAGGAGGAGGAGGAGGAGGGAGAGGAGGAGGAAGATACGGAGAAGGAGGAGGGAGGAGGTGGTGGAGGAGGAGGAGGATCAGGAGGAGGAGGAGGAGGAGGAGGAGGAGGAGGAGGAGGAGCGGGGGGAGGAGGGGGTGGGATGGGGGAGAAGGAGCAGGGAAGATGATGATGATGATGATGATGATGATGATGATGATGATGATGATGAAGATGATGATGATGATGCTGATGCTGATGCTGATGCTGATGCTGATGCTGATGCTGATGCTGCTGATGATGATGATGGTGATGGTGTTGGTGATGATGATGATGGTGATGATGACCCTGCTTATGATGACGATGTCGATTATGCTGATGATGCTGGTGGTGGTGATGATGATGAGGTGATGGTGGTTATCAGGATGATGTTGATGCTGATGATGTTGATGCTGATGCTGATGATTATGCTGATGTGGCTGATGATGCTGCTGCTGATGATGAACATGATGCTGATGCTGATAATGACGATGAGGATGCTAATGATGATGCTGCTGCTGATGATGATGGTGGTGGTGGTGTTGATTATGATGATGAGGATGAGGATGATACTGACGATCATGATGATGAGGATGCTGCTGATGATGATAATCTCAACGACGATGTTAATGATGATGATGGTTATCATTATTATTACTATGATGGTGGTAAGGATGATGAGGATGAGGATGAGACTGCGGATGACGATGAGTATGATTGTGGTGGTGATTGTGATTATGATGCTGCTGATTCCTATGATGATGCCGATGATGATGCTCATGATGATGATTATGATGATGATGACGATGATTATGCTGATGCTGATGATGCTGATGATGTGGATGAGGCTGATGATGATGATGATTATGACGATGATGCTATTGATGACGATGATGCTTATGATGGTCGTGATGATGATGATAATGCTGCTGATGATGATGACGAGGATGATGATGATGAGGCTGACGATGATGCTTATGATGATGACGATGATGATGATGATGATGATGATGATAATGCTGATGTTTCTGATGATGCTGCAGATGATGCTGATGCTGACGATGATGGTGATGCTGCAGATGATGATGATGATGATGATGACGATGATGATGATGATGATGATGACGATGGTGATGATGATGATGATGATGATGATGATGATGATGTGGATGATGATGATGCTGCTGCTGATATTAATGATGATGATTATGATGATGATTATGATGATGATGATGATGATGAGGATGATGAGGATGATGACGTGATGATGACGATGATGATGATGATGATGCTGATTATGATGATGATGATGATTGACGATGAGATGATGATGATGATGATGATGAGATGCTGCTGCTGCTGCTGATGATGATGATGATGATGATGATGATGATGATGATGATGATGATGAGATGATGATGATGATGATGATGGGGAGGGGGGAGAGGAGGAGGAGGAGGATTGAGGAAGAGGGGGGAGGAGGAGGAGGAGGAGGAGGGGGGGAGGAGGAGGAGAGGAGAAGGAACAGGAGGAGGAGGTAGAAGAGGAGGAGGAGGAGGAGGAGGTCTCGATGCGTATACTCACGGCATGCCTCCCTCTCTCGCTCGGCCAGCACCCGCAAGGGTTCCAAGAATAGCGAGATGAGGAAGAGGAGAAATGGATACGGTCTAACATCGCGTTGAACTACGAGGCTCACGGAATAGACAGGGACAGCTCGGCAGCCTTGCGCAGGTCATCATGTTTACGGTCGGCCATTTGTCGGTCAAGCCTTGGCCTGCTTGGCTGCCTTGCGGTCGCTCTTCGTCACGGCGCGATAGCCAGATTTGATTGACGTTGTCGTTCGGCCTGCGCCGCAGACGTTGCACTTCACGGTCCACAGCCGTGCCGAGGAGTCCTTGCCCAGCTTTGTGTCAGCACCCCTGCACATGTGGCAGGCCACATAATCCTTGATGTACTTTCGCACTGCGCTCTCCAAGTGCTTCGGCAAGCACCGGCCCTTCAAAATCAACTGACCGTCAGCGCCGGCTCCCTCCGCGCGCGCAGTCGCCAACCCCGCCACTGAGCCCTTCGTGACATTTTCCGCGAGTGCGAATTACACCACATGATCATATTGCCGCTTGATCATCTGACAAATCTCAGCAAACTTTACCTAAGCCACCCTTATAGAGCCAACGCGCACCACCTGCGGAGGCTTCAGCACGTGCTTCTTCGCTACGCCCAACGTCGGGCACCTGCTCTCGACGACCTCGTACAGCCGAGTGAGCATCTCCCTATAGGTATACTCCGGGCCTTTCGACCAGACCACGCTGGTCAGCTGGACTTCTTGATCGTCCTGGTCCGCTTTCTCCTTTTTCTCCTTCTTCTCCATTTTCGACTTCTTCTTGCCAAGAGCAAACTCAAGCTCCTCATCGTCCCCCATTGCGCTACTGCTGTCTAGAGCCAGCGGGTCGTCGTCAAAAACGAATCCAGCCTGCGACCTTGGACCAACTCGGCTTGAGTCAAAATGGTTACGGGGGACCAGGAGGAGGACGAGGAGGAGGAGGAGGACGAGGAGGAGGAGGAGGAGGAGGAAGAGCGGGGGGAGGGGTATTAGGGGGAGAAGGAGGAAGGAAGGGGAGGAGGAAATGTAGGAGAAGGAGGAGGAGGATCAGTGTGAACCCAAGAGTTATCAACGAAGTTGGAAAAAAACCCTCCCTCCAAGCTTCCTGTTCAAAGGCCCCTACATGGGTTCATTTCCACTGAGGAAACTGCCTCGTTGGAAGACAACGTTTGAAGAGCCTGAAGCATGCGACAACATTAGTCTCGGGACTCCAACGCCACGGATCAACCTGAATGTTGCGTCTTGACGATCTTGAATCGTTCCAGAACGTCATTCCTGGGACTTCAACACCGCGAATCAATGTAGCTGTTGCGCCTTCAATTCCCTAAGCCATTCCAAAACACCATTTCTGGTACGTTGACCATCAGAATCCGTGAAGGTTCTGCAATGTTTTAAACGAATGTGCGCGCCGCTAAGGCGAGAGCAACATTTTGAAGAGGAACTGCCCTCAATCCGTGAAGCCCTTGCACATTTTTAGAATGAATGTGCGCGGCCCTAAGGTGAGAGCCACAATTTGAAAATCACCCGC